CTAAGAACGTCTACACAAGATTGATTCCAGATTCCTTTGATCTGATCCTAGCAGACTTCAATGCTTACTTCAGCTAACTACTGCAACACCTGGTACTTATTAGAGACTGTTGCTGAACAGTGTTCTTTAACTTCTTTATCCCTGGGATAACCTACATTTTACTAGTGTCTATGATTAAAATATGTAATGTAAGTTTTAACTTGATTTTACTCACCCACAGAAAATGGTTAGTTAATACATGGGCACCTCTGAAGGTCCTAACATCATGAAGGGATGATCTTAAATGTTTGTGTATTCTTTTGTTCTTTTGTTCATTGTGTATTCTTCCACCAATAACATACTGGTTTCCTGCATACAAATTTGTGAATAATTCTCCATTTTCATTCATTACTCTTAGACCATGTCTTCCCATAATATCTTCATAATCTGTGTTGTCTGATCCTATCTAAGCATTCAGGTCACCCATCCCAACTTTTATATAGCATATATATATATATATAGCATCAGCAAACTGTTTGGAGAATTCTCCTCTGTGTGTCAAAATAGTTTCTCCTGAATTTAAAATACTTTTCCCCGCCCCAGTCTATCTAGTTTCACATAACCCTAAAATACTCGAGTCCTCCAGACCTGCATCCTGTGGTGCATTGTCGGAAAGTCAAAAAGATATCTCATTGCTACGCAAGAGGTGTCTTTTTAGGCACATCATAAAGCATATTCGATTCTAGAAAGAACCAGTCCGTGGAACAGTAACAGAAGCAGTCTCTGCTCGATGTTGGCGGTGGCCAGGACCCTCATTGCTGATAAGCCCTTGCAGGCCTTCATTATAACATGGTCGACGTGGTCTTTGAAGGACAGACTGCGATCAAACGTCACACCCAGATATGTCATCGGGTGTGTTCTCCTTTAACTTCGCCGCTTATTTCGACAACTGGAAGGTCTGCCTTAATCATATGCATGTTGAAGGAGAACCATGTTACTGAGGCGTTTGCAGGGTTGACATGTGCACTGGAGTCCACACACCTGAAGAAGATGCGATCAGGTTCGCACTCCATTGCATTGGCAATCGCATGACGCTTTCTTCCATGTCGATAGACCAAAATTTTGTTAGCAAATGACTGTTCAGTTTTTCGCAACGTAAACCAGATACCCATGTAACTCGCAGCGCCTTTCACCCTAGAACTTAATGATCTATCTGTGCCTTCGCACTGTTGACTGGCTCCAAAAGAGCCCTAACAACATTCAGCTTGTCATACATCAGTTCACTACCAAGCGTTGCAGAACTGGCCAGTCTATCTACCTGTTCATTTCCCAACACACCGGCATGACCTGGAGAAAATATCCAAAGGATTTTAACTACCCAGGACCTCTGAAGTGATGCATGCCACTCTGCACGGAGTATGACTGTCTCCACCTTTCTCGACATGCTCTGCGAGTCAGTCACAATAACGGCACGTGTGTATAGCTCATTCTCAACCCAGCGGAAAGCAGCAATTACTCTATTCTCAAATTAGAGGTTGAGATATCATATGCCAGGCTTTTCTGCGCTAAGCGACGTCCATTCACTCTTGCTATGCACCACCGTGCACTGTGTCTGCTCCTTAACACAGAGCCAACTGTATAGATAATCACATCACCTGCGAAGAAATTGCCATCAATCATTTGTTTAACTTCTGATTCTGCAGCACCAGCTGGCCATTCCCTACACTCACGCCTCAAAGTTACAAGAACCCTACACAAGTCTGAAACTTGCTCAGACACATTGACCCACTCCTCTCACGCTTGTCAAATTGTGTCTTCAGCTTGCGCCATCCAAGACCTTCCTCTTTTCCGTAGGTAAGCTTCATGCAGGAGGTGCTTCTTGTCTGCAGCTACTCTGAGATATGATTTTCCTTTCAGATCTTTGAACCTATCTGCAATAGGCATTGCAGGTATATATATATATCTTATACATACTACAGGGGTATCTCTTGTACATCCCAAAAATACCCGCAAAGTTTCATTCTGTATGCGATAAAGTTTCATCAGCTGACTCTTTTATATGGTAAGCATTTTAAGTTCATAATCTATCACCAACAGGATGACATGTGGAACACTCTGAACATCATTCTTTGATTCATGTACATTGCTGTCATAATCTTGAGAGCATTGAGTCCTTTTTGATACTTCACCACAACTGCCTCCATATGACCCCTGAATGGCAGGCTTCTATCTAAAATCATACCAGGTACCTCAGTTTGCTTTTTCTTTTGAAGTTACTGTTATTGACTGTGAGGCTTGGAACATTAGCTCTAAAAAACATTTTGCCCATGGAGCACCACAGAACAGTCGCCTTTTCTGACTTGATGACAGCACCCATTTCTGCATACCAATCAGTCACTTTGTCTGCATTTGCCTGTAGCTCCTGGGATATCCATTTCCTATCACTCTCATGCCTATATGCAAGAATATTATCTGTAAATGTTAATATCCTTCCAACACCTGGTGCTTCAAGTTCTGCAATCTTGTTGGTGTACACGTTGAAAAGCAAAACAATAGCCGAGATTCGGAAATAACTGAAATATATCCATTCAAATATATCCATTCTTACCTTAAAGGATTGCAGGTTACACAAGGCTGGTGTAGCCGTTACGGATGCCCCAATTATAACTGTTTTTGGAGGTTGAGGGGGGAATCTCTCTGGTATTACAATGTTGGCCTGCCATCTAAACCAAGCTTATCCCTAAGGGTGTCAAACCTCAGATAGCAGCCCTATGTGGTTTAAAATCTGTACGCAGGAAACCGCAGCGAAACAAAACATTGAGAACAGCTAAAACATGAAAAGAATTGCAGCAGTATAACAGGCGTCGGCTGACAATGGTCTTCTTGTATTCCACGTATGTGGTGGAAACTGTTTTTGAGAATAAATCTCGGTCACAAAGGTAACATTGGTACCATCTATTGTTCTCTGCCTTCTTGCTGCTATTTTCATAACGCCAGTAGCCTGTGTTAAAAACATTCTTCCAATTGTATTTTTTTTTTTTTTTAGTTAAATCCGAGCACAATTAAAGTTGGTAAGTTTTTGTGGCGAGTGAATAGACTTATGGGGAAAACTTTCACATGACCTTATTTTCTGTCATAATTATAAGTAGTCGCCTTGTTGTGTGTGAACTAGTTTCTTTTGTCAACGTTTTATTTTAATTCTGAACAGACACAAATAGTCACGAAGAGTTACATTTTTTTTTTTAGACCTAATGAGAAATTTTGTTACTGAGATGACGTTTGGAAGCCAGAAGTGAGATCTCGGCTCTATAAAAAGCAGATGGTGTGATGCTTGTTGAGATTCTCCATTGTCGACAGAGGTTGGTAAGAGACCTGAAGAAAGTCAACTGATCACTGTGGTGTGATAACGTTGAGGTGAGTTTTGCAGGAGATTTGTATGCTGTCTTAGGTCTGATGCTGAGTCTTGTAGTTTTGCTGAGGTTCTATATTTAGTGCAACCTTTCTTGCAGCCTTTGTTCCATACTCGTATCATTATTTCTGTTTGACAATCATCTTTTACATCTATATTTATGTGTGTGTGTGTGTGTGTGTGTGTGTGTGTGTGTGTGTGTGTGTGTATATATATATATATATATATATATATATATATATATATATATATATGTATGTATATATATCTATATATAGTTTACAGCGATCTATATTTCTTCTGTGTGCAATATCAGGATCTTATAAACTGATACTGTATTTTCAATCCAGTTGGTTCAGTTTGTTTCTTATACTGCATTCACAAATTTATTTCTAAAATTATTTCACTATTCCTTTAAATCAATCATTATATGTAATCATTTCTCGTTCTTGTTCTTGTTCTTCTGCCTCTTCTTGTTCTTGTTCTTCTTCTTCTTCTTCTTCTTCTTCTGCTTCTTCTCTTACTTGTTCTTCTTGTTCTTCTTCTTCTTCTTCTTGTCTTTCTAGTTCTTCTTTTCTTCTTCTTCTTCCTCTTCTTCTTCTTCTTCTTCTTCATTTTCTTATTTTCTTCTTTTTCTTCTTTGTCTCCTTCTTCTCCCCCTTTTCTTCTTCTTCTTCTTCTTCTTCTTCTTCTTCTTCTTCTTCTTCTTCTTCTTCTTCTTCTTCTTCTTCTTCTTCTTTTTCTTCTTTTTCTTCTTCTTCTTCTTTCTAATATGCTCTTTCTTTTTAGTTGGTGATTCCATGCGTTTGTAAGGCTGCTTGTATCTCATCAATAATCTTGTGAGTCCTCTCCCATTCAAGGTTTTCAAGTACACAGTTTTGTCTTTCTGTTATCTGTCATTCTCTCTATAAACCCCGACCATCGCGTCCATAAGCCATCACAAGCCAGTCAATGATCTGTGTTGATAATTATTTTTGGTATAAATCTAACATTTATGAGCTCGCAGAATATCTTTTTCCTGGCAAAATCTAACTAATATTCTTTTTTTTTCTCCCTTACCCATAAGGCGCTTTTGAATTAGGTAGTAAGTCAAGGACACTTTCAACGCACTTTATCCACCCCCCCCCCCCTTTTTTTTCCCTGTATTTTCCGACCTCGGCATAGCATGGGAGAACAGAGACACCGTCGTCTAACAAGACGACTAATTCACTAATTCATGATTATCTTAAATTGGACGTGATGAACCGAAAGGATCAGAAATCGCTGGCTAGATGTGAACCACAATATAGCGTGACAACCTCGCTTTTCAGGGCCAACGATGAAAACGATGTGTAAATCCGTACATGTTACCTGGCCAGCATCACACACGCGGTCTCTGTATGGTATCCATTTAAGACCGTGTCGACCTCGGATACAAGGTCAGTTTAAAAAATTCGACTCGACGATCATCGAGCAGGCAGACAGTCATCTATCAGTGTCTGTATCTGTAACCGGTTGATCGCAACCGTGCATGCAAACATTTAGAGGCCGTACATCGGCCTTGTAATTTTTCTACTGTTGTATCTTTCCAGACTGTTTTCTCAACATCAAACTTAGTGAAGATACGTCCAAGATGGCGTATTTAACATTGACCACTTTACCTCTGCTGCTGCTGAGCTGTTGCAACATTTTGACAGCAAACAGCAAAGGTATCTTAGGGTCTGAACCCGCACCGCTCAGAGTCTGTTCAGATGCCGTTCAGGAGGTCACTGTCAATTTAACCACTAGTCTTCACGAGCTGGACAGGAAATATCTGAGTATTGCCATGTCGCCCAGGAGGGTGAAAAATAAATATGAGGGGTAAGTCTCATATTGTTTCTATTATGCCTTGCTTGGAGTGGGTTTTAAAAAATGGGAAGAGGTGGGAGAATGGGGGGGGGGGGGGCTAATTACAAGTATTATTGCTCATCGGACCATATGAAGCTAGTCCCTTTATTTTTATAGGCCAATCCCATGTCTTTTTAAACATACAAGCTCGGTTGGGATCCGAGCCAGTGACTAGCAGGGCAGCAGACAATCATGTTAGCAATGCGGCCAATGTTGTAAAATGCTTAGACAATATAAAAAGTAGAACTTATTATACAATAGTTGCAAACAGATCTTCTTCATACTCATTCCGAGTTTCTATGCAGAAGATTTCAAACAAACCCCACCCCCTCCCCAAACCCCCTCTCACAAATATTTTGTTTTGTGTCAACTCTGTAATAAGCCTTCTCTTCGCAGCTTGCGACTCTGAGTGTTTCTAGGACTGTCAATGTATTATCTATAAACCGTCTTCTACTTCTGTCTTTTGCTCTACCTTCATTCAGCTCATTTGTGTTCGGAATGTTTTCTCCCTTTTATCTGCAATTCTTTCTAAATGCTCCAAACTTTGCAGTCTATTAGCTCTCTTGATGATGGATGATTTTAGAATATTACGAATTTCATTGTGTTGTTGCTTCTCACTCTTCATTTGCCGCTGTTTGCATCTTCGATGCATAAGATTTGTCCTAGGATCGTGCTCTAAATAGGTAAACAAATCAGTGACCATTTTGTAATGAATCCTTTCTCGGCATTGTGTTCCTACATCGCACAGAGCCCAAAAGCTAATCAACTTGGCAGTGGCACTTGCTCCAGCGGATGCCAGGGTGGGTGGTACGGCTGTCAACTTCATGACATTCATCCCTCCTGCCAGCAACGCCCATACTGATCAACAGTCGCCTGTGCTGGAGGCTAGCAACATCGACTTTCCTGGCGAGGAGCCTGAGAGCTTTTCTTTTACAGGTAAAGTCAGTTACTAGCATCTCTCTGTGGGTAAAAGGCGTGGATGTTCTGGGGAGGGTAGTCATTGTTCCTCTCCGGGATTGATAGGCGTAGGATTAACACCTGAAGGATAAGACAGGAACAGAAGCAAGTACTAAAAAGACCGGTCAGTCGTCGCATGACACTATTAGACCATAAGGCATCCCTACAGCCACCACCTGCAGTTCAGTGCGTGTGCGTGTGTGTGTGTGTGTGTGTGTGTGTGTGTGTGTGTGTGTGTGTGTGTCGGGCGGGGGAGTGGAGGGGGGGGGGGGTTCAATTTTTTAAAAAGATATTCTTAGCATGTGACTACAAGTTTTTCTATTGTTCATGTGTTTTCTTGGTCACATTCTGACCGTGTGAATGTTCTGGGTATTCAATTTCATGTACAGATAATTTATAATTTTTATGCAGATATTTTATGACATATCTATAGATAGTTTTTGACAGGTCTGCAGGCTGGTTCTGGTATGTGCGGAGGCAGTATTCAGTACATATGTGCCAATAATCATCAATATATGATATGCTAGGGGCCGCCACTCGAGGATAAAATGAAACTGTAGGCAGTGCAGTCCCCTATGATTTAGTTGAAGCTGTGTTGGCAGTTATGTCCACTGGGCGCCAGAGTTCCAAAGGTGATAATAAAGCAATGTTTCACAGACTTGCGGACTCTGTCGCTGGAGTGGCTAGATTTAATGGCTGCCTTTATGTCGTGGACACCTTGGGGGTCATGGGAATAGGAATGCAGTGGTACTGGTTTCAAGGCACCATTCTGCACGTCCAAATGATGTTGTCTAAATCTGTCAGCCAGTTGTAAACCCTTTCACTGATGTATTTAATGCCACATCTCTTGCAGTTGATAGAAGAGTGTATGGACATTAACAGCTCGCTCTTTAGGCAAAAGTCCAAGAAGCCAGTGGTGCCGTCTCTATGACTACCAGCAGTATGACAATAGAAGTGATGGCGGTCACACAAGCTTTCATTTAGCTAGAATCACAGGACTATTTCCCCAAGTGTGTGCTCAGTGATTCTATGAGCAGACAGTGGATTGGGTATTTTAAAACTATCACGTGTGTGCAGTTACCTTCATACCTCGTATTTGTCCTAGGTTTTACATTAGTGACAGATGGCTGGCCCATGGTTCACGCTGACATTGTCAGTGCCCTTATGGAAGTAGGACTAATACTAAGACTAACACTAACACTAAGCAGCAAATAGAGGAGAACTGAGAGTGAGGAGCAACAACGAAATGTATATTTTTAAATCACCACTAACCAATAACATCACGCGGACTTTTAAAAAAACCGCAGGGGTTGGAGCGTATAATGAGAGTGATGTCAGATAAGAGAGGCAAAAACGGCATATAAGGATGCGTTGAACATAGTGTAAGGTGGGAATGGGAGTGGGAGTTGGGTGGTATCTGCAGCAATGAACCTCGGAGGACTGGAAATACTGACAAAGAAAAAGAGAAGATAATTTGTATCGGCATTATTTAAATTCACAAAGGGGAAAACATTACTATGTGTGTGTGTGTGTGTGTGTGTGTACGTGTGTGTGTGTGTGTGTGTGTGTGTTTGGTCGAAATATGTATCGGTCAACTCTTGTGTGTTGAAAGGAGAAGAGTGGGAGTCGTTCAACACATTTCTGACAAAAGCCAACTGGGACCTCTTGTACGATCTCAATAACTTCAACTGGAAAGCTGATCGCTCATGGGACACAACCAACGCACAGCAGCTTCTCAAATACTCGGCTGCCAAAGGAATTAAAATTCCTTATCTACAAATTGGAAATGGTAAGACTTTATTTTTTGTTTAATCCTGTAATAAAATTTGCCCCTTTCGAATTGAGTTCAGAAAATTGAATCCCTAGTGACCCAGAAAGCTACTGTAGGCAGCAGGCAGGCCAAACAATTTCTGGAGGCCTCGGAGATGTGGTTTTACAGAAGAATGCTTAGAATACCTTGGACAGCCAAAAAGAGCAACCAAGAGGTTTTGAAGGAGGTGGAAGCCCGAAGACAACTTATCACAGACATCAGAAGGAGACAGTCATCATTTTTCGGCCATGTTATGAAATAGAACATGTTGTGACCACTGGAAAAATATTGTGGAAGGAGAGATAGAGGAAGACAACATGAGAAGATGCTTGACAGTCTTGTTGCATGGCACAGAGGTGTGTCGGCACACGAACTGATACATGCTGCAGGAGATCGCAGATTATGGAGAGGCATGATCGCCTACGTCAGTCGGCAAGGCACCTGATGATGATGATGATATTATGCCACCCCAGTGTGATGAGGTAAACTATTTTACTATCCATGGTGGGTGGGTCATTTCTTGGTCTGTGTTTTTTTCTCAGTTAAATCCAATTGTTCTCTTCCCAGGGTCTTCATAAATGTTTAAAACCACGAAGTTTAAAACAATCTCAAACTGGATGACAAACCAACAGGGCAAATCCCAAAGTTATAACCGGGACACCCCTAGGTTCTACACCAACCTGGCGTATCCTACAGCCCAGTGCGGCAGACATTGAAATAGAAAGTAGATCTTGTATGCATTGCTTCTTCTTTTACTGTTGGCGTCTGTGGTTTAGGCTTGCGAACTCGCTTCGTAATGCCGGGATGCCGGGTTTGATCCCAGCTGCAGGCCTTGCGTTGGTTTCGACACTGGTATCAAGAAGCTGACCGTCCAGAAAGCAATGGCAAACTACATGACGTAAACTTGCCTGAAAATCCCACAACAGCCAAAAAATGCTAGGGCTGGCTCTGCAACGTCATGTAAAGGGTACGCAACTAACTTCTTCTTTTACTGCTTCAGATTTTGAGGAATATATAAGGTTCTTGCTTATTTGGATGCCTCAACTACAGAAACGAATGCTTTTGTGCAGCCTCCATGGTGGGCACAAGAAGTAGAACAAGCATGGAAAGCAAACAGAGCAGCATTTAAACAATTACAGAAAATGCGAAAGACACCTCACAGATTACAAGAGAATGTTGAGAAGCTAGAAAGAGTTAGAACAGAAAAGGTTGAAGAGTTGTCGTACGCCCCTCTCTATGCACTGAAATGTACCTAAACAGTTGTTAATTTGTTATTGTTGCCAATACATGTTTTTTTTTTTTTTTTATTCGTAGATCTTTTCCGTCAATGTTCAATTTTTTAAATAGTTTGATTACTTCTACATGTTTCACACAGTCAAATACTTTTGTAAAGTCTATGAGCCTAAGTACAAATCAGTCTTTACCTCTTTAGCTCTCTCTCTCTCTGACAATGTCTTTCGGATGTATATGGCTTTGTACTTTTTAATTCTACAAATTCCCATTGTCCATTACTGATTTCTTGAGGGGTAGTCGTAGTGCATGGGGTGGGGGTTATAGCAAAAGCAAATGGACGTCGCTTAGTGCAACAAGGTCTGGTATATGATTTTACAAAGTCTAGTTTGAGAATGGAAGTGGAAGCCGTCACTGCTGCCTTGCGCTGGCTTAAAGAACCAGCTGTACACACATGCCGTGATTGTAACTGACTCACAGAGCATGTTCGGAAAGGTGGAGACTGGCATGCTTTCTTTCAGAGTGGCAGCATCACTTCAGAGGTCCCGGGTAGTTAGCGTCCTTTGGATATTTTCTCCAGGTCATGCCGGTGCTCCGGGGAATGAACAGGCGGCTAGACTGACCGCTTCTGCACCACTTGGGGGTGAATTGATGTATGACAAGCTAGATGTGAGGACTCTTTGGGAGCGAGTGAACAGTACGGAGGCACAAACAGAGCATTGCGGTCTAAGTAGAATGGCGCTGCGGGGAGTTACTAAAGGATCTGGCCGACGCTCAACACTCAAGGGAAGGCGGAGATGATATACAATCAACCAGTCACTGGAACCATCGGAATTGGAACTCTTAGCTTGCTGCCGTAGATGGGGACGGAGCGCTTGTGGAAGTGTCCCGAGTGCTGAAATGTCGATTTCTAATTTAACATTCAAGATTCAACTATAGACAAGTCGTACTGTTGTAAAGTTTTTCTAATGTTAACGTAGCATCCAGTCCACAGAACATCATCACCGTCATTTGTTGTGTCGACAAGCGTAGGCTGTCGTTTTTTTTTTTTTTTTTGGGCTACAAGAATCATGGATTAGGTCAATGTTCTTGCCTTTCCCTATCCATGTGGCTAAGCAGTTCAGGTATTTATCTCTCTCCCTGTCTCTTGCTCTCTTTTCGCTAGTCTTGCCAGTTATTGCTCAGTTCTCGAGTCCATCAATTCCTTCTGAAGCATGTCCGTAAAACACTGACTGTCTACGTTCAGTTGTTCTAAACAGTTTACGGCTTGCATCTGTCTCGGGGAGGACTGCAACATTTATTTTTCTATCAATTCATGAAATTCTTTGCATTATTTCAGAAATCACAACTGCATGCTTATTGCCAATGTCTCGTGTGGGTGGATTGTCGGATGCTTGAATAAATGGATGGATGGACGAACTGATGGATGGATATGTAGGTGGATGGATAGATGGGTGTGTATGAACTGATCTGGGGGAGGGGGTTATTCGTAGGGTGGATGTGTAGAGGAAAGGATGCCTACGTGAATAAATAGATTTGTTTTAGATTTATGGGTGGATTGGTGGTACATGGATGGGTGGGTAGGTGGAGGGATGCGCAAATGAATGTATGGGCAGTAAGAATGGAGCAAACTTATAGTAATGACCCCTGGTCTCTGAGTAGTACTGGTAGTACTGGTGGCAGAGCACGTATGGTTTATAACTGTGTGCAATGACGCTGGTTCACATCTCCCGACTTTACCTTTTTTGTTTTTTACATGGTCTCTGGGTAAGAATATAAAATCCCTTGGCAGTTAGAAAGTATTTCAGGATCCTCGCCGGCGATACGGAGTTCTTGCATTGGGCTGAGAATGTGTAGACTCAGGCTTCAGTTAGAAGTAGAAAGGAGCCCTTATTGGTTACTGCGCTTGTTTCAAATTTTTCTTATTCGCAGCGCGTTTTTTTTTTTTTTTTTCAATTAAAAAAAATTTCCACGGAGCCCAAACTTAAATAAAAGTATAACTGTTCGTATGTAAAAGATCAAAACAAATAAAATTCTTGCATCTTTAAATATTTCACAGCGCCCCTGTGAAGAGGTCGCGGCACATCGGGGCACCGCGGAGCACAGTTTGGAAATTACTGGTATAAACCATAAATCAAACTATGGATGGGCAAATGGATTCATCTATAGATGGGCAGGTGAATGGATGGGTGGGTAGTTTTACAAATGGGCTGATAAATGAACATGCTGATGGAAAGATGGGGGGGGGGGGGGCGTTCGGATACACAGATAGATAAGTAAATACGTAGTTAGATAAGCAGCTATACCTTAGGCAATGTACGTAGCGTAAGTAGGTAAATATTCAGGTAGATAGATAAGCGGACACGGAGTTATACATGTTAGATTATATTTGACTAGATTGTATTAGATCAACGTTTGCTTGTGTGATCCCCAGAACCCAGCGCTTACCCTCACAAGTACAACCTGAACATCACAGCTAAAGTCCTGGTAGACAACTATAAGACGTTGAAGAAACTTCTCTCCAAGTTCCCCCTGTACAAATCCACACAGTTGTGCGGGCCCGATGTCTCTAATATCGGCGTCAGTCGTAACGCTAAAGAATATCTGCAAGGGTGAGTTTGTTCCAACAGGTAGTTAATATTCAGAGTGATGGAGCTAGTGCGGGGAACTAAAAGATTAGCAGTTGTTTGCTTCCCCCGCCCTCCTATTTTAAAGATCACCACATTTTTGTTAATGATCACAACATTGTCAACAAGGAGTGACACATTTTTTTTTTTTCAAGTATCAACATGTGTCTGTCAACTATCAGCACATTTTTATAATTCATTTCCATCTGTTACGGACAGTAAGATTATTTTTTTTTTTTTTCGAACTGTAATAATTATTTCTTTCTTGCACTGACTAGATTTTTCTTCTGCCCAAATTCTATTAAACAAATCTTTCACTCAGTTTTTGATTGCAGAATCTGCTACCTTGAGTATTTCTGCATTAACATCATCTTCACCTGGTGACCAATTGTATTCTGAATAACTGAGTCCCCCCCCCCCCGGCCTTCTTCCCAACTTTGACGATTTACATGTCATTTGTCTGTCTTACAATTATTGGTCAATGGCAATGTTTACCTCTTTAACTTAATCCATTGGTTCTTTTGGACGATGTCTCACACACCCCATGGAATCTTCAGGTGTGTGTGGGGGAGGGGGGTGTTTTGTGCATGTGTGTGAGTGTGGGGGGGGGGGGCTTCTGTGCATGTTTATGAGTGTGTGTGTGTGTGTGTGAGCATATGTTTGACGATCTACAGAAAAGATGCAATACAAAAATATAAATATAAGAAATAAATTGAAAGGCCAAACTTATGACGTGTAATAATAACTGCAGGAGATAGCAACTAAAACAGAACAGTTTAAGGTCATCAGAACTGGGTCTGAAGTCTCATGTTGTTCTCACTCCCCAAAATGATATTCCACACACACAGCCTGGCCTATTTGTACAATGTGTTTAGAAATCATTTTTGTCAGTAAAATTATAATGTAAGAAAATTATTAGTAGATTCGCTTTGATAAATGCATATCTTTATCTTGATGTTCACAATACAAATAATTATTAATGTGCTACTTTTCGCCCTTTTGATTCTAGGATTGCTCATCCACTATTTATTTATTTTTTTTTTTTTTTTTGCTTACTAAATTCTGTCAAAAAACACGGTTTTGAGTTTCCCCTTTTTTTTTCAACTTGTCCACCTGCATGATTACAGTCTGTAGTGTTAACATATCATGTACGAGAATCAGACTGGTATAAATTCAAGAACCCCGTTCAATGTATATACCGTGGACTCCATATGATTACGACAGTAACCTGTCGTCTAGTGTGTGTGTGTGTGTTTGTTTTAGGGGAAGGGATTTGGGGGGGGGGGGGGGAGGTCTAGTGTAAACATTGTAATGTAAGGGTTTTCTTTTTTGCTCGCCTTATCATGTGTTGATCCGAAGTGTGTGTATGCTTGTACATTGTTTAGTTGTTGAGTATTGACTATTTATCTTTTCAGGTTCGTCTCTAACGGAGCCTACAATGTAGTTGACGCTCTCAGTGTCCATTTGTAAGTTAGACGCGGTGTCTTGGAGTTAGTCAGTGCTGTTTGTTGATGTTGTTGATGTTGTTGTTAAGTTGCGTTCAAGACTGATATCGAAGCACATTGACAGGGGTGCCAATGGCAATCTGACTATACCTTTCCCTTGAGTACTGAATGTCGGCAACATCCTTCAAATCCTTTCTATCGCATCCGTTTTCCCAAAATGTGATGATTTATTCGGTTTTTATTGTTCTTGAGTTGCCAACGGGTCTTGACAACATCTGCCTCTACATACATCCATTGACCACCAAATGGTGCAGAGCCAGTAACCTGTGTGTGTGTGTTTTCTGATAAACCAGCATATCGTGAAGAAAGTACCCAACGGATACTGAGTTCCATCGACCTCGGCAGTGATACATGATGCTCTGCGGGAAGCATGCTCTGTGGAACCTGCTTTGAGGGCAAAACAAACTGAGATGTGTCTGATTCAAATTTAGCAGTCTGCTTCAATAGTACAGATTCCAATCTCACTGAAGTCATACTTAAGGATTTTCTTGAAAACAAAATAATTATGTGGCTCTGAGGGTTACAAAATGGCACGCTGTATTATGAAAAACCTCAGGCGTGATGTTGAGAACACTTCATGTTTTATGCAACATTATTATGCTATAAATATAAGCAATAAATTGTTTTTATAGTTTGTAATTTATATTTATCTTAACGGCTGTCAGTCTGCCACCCTGGTTTCTGGTGAAATATTAAATAAATTAGTTCTCGTGACAAATATTTTGGGCAATTTTATATTGCTAGTGGAATTCTGTGGACAGCAAAAATGTGTATTATTGGTGTTTGAAATTGCAAGATGTAGATTGGAGTGAAAGTCTACAACAGTTGGCAAGACACTTGATGTTGATGATGGTAGTGATAGTGAACATAACGATGATTGCGGTGGGGGTGAAATAATAGTAATGAATATGAATAAATAAATGCTCAGATTTTGAATTTCCAAAACCATGACCAAACTATGTGTGGAAGACAGTTGTAATATAGTAACATCTAAAGACTGAAAGTCATACCCATTGAAAATAACATCTGGTTGATAGCAAGGTGATGCTCTGTCCCCACTTCTGTTCGGCTTGCCCCTGGAGAAAGTAAGAAAATTGAAACAAGAGTGTACCTGAAAAAACTACAAAAATACTTGGTTCTGCAGATGATATTGATATCGTTGGAGAAAATTAACTAGAGACTGGCTCTCTTAAAAGAAGCATCTCACAAAATGAGTCTAGTTATCAATAAATATAAGACAGAATACATAATAGCAAGACAGGGAAAGGTTATAAAGTACGACCACATTCAAGTCGATAAAATCAAAATCAAATGATTGGAAACATATAAGTACTTGGGTGCAAACTTCGACTGCTTCAACATGCTGAAGGAAGAAATACAATCTACAATATAATCTGGAAAAAAAAAAGAATCCTATGCCCTTCAACATCTGCTAAGGTCAGTCTCTATCTCGCAACACCAAGATCAAAATGTGTAAAACGTTGATAAAACCAGTCGTTTTATATTTCTCTGGAACTTGGAGAACAACTAAAAAAGATGAAGCCTTATTACACATTTTAGAGTCTTACGACAAATCTTAGGACCCATCAAAGATGCAAACAGCGGGGAATTGAGAGTGAGCAACAACGAAATTTATTTATCTGTTTAAATCAAAATTGATCACTGGCATTAAGAAAGCTAATAGACTGAAATAGCTGGGGCATATTGAGAGAATGTCAGATGACCAAGAGGTAAAAAACTGTATTCACAAGTATATAAGTAAATGGTCGTAGACCACGAGGCAGACCAAAAAGAACAAGATATAATATCCAGAACAGACCTACAAACAATTGGTGTCACCAACCAGAAAGAGAAGACCCACCAGAGAGATGAATGGAGGCGGGTGATATCTGCAGCAATGAGCCTCAAAGGTCGGAGTGCTAAAGAAAAATAAAAATAAAAACCAATTTACCTCACGAAGCCTACATCTAGAAACATTAAATGTATTAAATTTATTTATTTATTACAAAACAAAATTAAACAGTTTTAACCAATGGGAATTATTTTGACTCGATTTATCCTCTTTGCACTAAGTACACTGCCCATCTGCGGTCTTTGTTGACAAGAACTGCTCCAGCCTAATCTCAGACTAGGTGATAACCGATTCGAACATATAAATCTAATCTCCTCTTCGTTTTTTTTTTTTTTTTTACCAGCTGTAAACTCCGACTGAAAATTCTAGTTTTTCGTCCACTTCTAGACTTTGATCCTGTTCTGGAACTTGCATTTTGCATGCACATCCGTTTCACTGATCTAGCTTACTTGTATGCAGACTGCTGGTTCCGTACCTCGCACGTAGATACACTCCCTCTTCCAAAGACTATTCCCTATTTAGTCACCTTGTGCGATATGCTTGTTAGGTGGTAGTGGCCATTACTTTCCCCAAATGGAGCCTGTAACCCACACGATGTGAGAGTGTTGTGGTACACACGGGCCTATTTGATGACAAATGTGACAGTCGTGTCTTTAAACTTTGAAGGCCAAAAACAAATTAGGAGAACTCTATTTTGGCTCTGCCACAGACTTGTACCCTAATAGAAAGAGGGCATGCTGTTTAAAGGTAACAGGGTCGTCTTTATTGCACACTAGTCTTGTCTTATAAGGCTTGGGTTTTCTGCCCTCGGCGGCAGGTCGTCACCCGAAAACATCGCACGCAACACGAACTCTTCTGCTCTAGCGGCCATCATTTGAGTCTCTAAAAGACCTACACTTGGGAACTGAAACACATCTTCTTCACATCTCGAAGCAAAAGGTTTAATTACTTCATTCATAAACTTGAAGAAGAAAACAGTGATCATTACAAAGTGTAGGTCTGAACGCCAAAAAAAATGTTATTTTATCATACCAGGGCACCCTTATTGTGTGTGCGTGTGTGTGTGCATGTGTGTGTGTGTGTGTGTGTGTGTGTGTGTGTGTGTGTGTGTGTGTGTGTGTGTGTGTGTGTGTGTGTGGAGGCGTCAGGGACCCATACCTCTAGTGATGAAATGGAAATGTTAGCAGTATGAAATAATACCTAATGTATTTCCTTTTCTAATCGCTACTGTCTGATTTGCCTATGTCCCAGTTACTATGTGAATGGGGCCACTGCAACAATCAACGAATTTCTCAGCGTGGAGATTTTGGACACACTGAAGACAATGCTTGATACGGCTGTTGGCATCATAAACTCCAGCCCTAAACCGCTGCCGCTCCAACTGACAGAAACAGCTTCAGCTTACGGCGGCGGCGCTCCTGGACTGTCTGACACGTATGCAAGCGGTTTCTTGTAAGTAACTGGTTCTTGATTGATACATGCAGTTGTTTCATGTCACATCAGTGTGCTCCATGGTAGAGACCTGATGTTACCGTGTAGAACTATTCTCAGTGTCACATGTGACCTTATCAGTTGAATCTCGTGTATAAGCACTGAGAAAGTGCAGCACCCCTTATTTTCACTCGATATTATTGAAAGCACTCAATATAATTGTTCTGGTCTTTATTTCTTTCTTTATACCTGTACATTAGATCAACTTTAGGCTTAGTGCGGTAGACATCCACTAGTTAAATTACCCACGAAAATAAATCTTTACATAGAACTGAACATTTCACATTGCAAGCGATGTGGTTTTTGTGTTTTTACGCGCATGTGCACAAGTCCAAGATAAGAAGCTGCATATAATGAATGTTGAATGTCGAATTAACAATCGACGTCACAGCACTCGAGACACTGCCAAAAATGTTCCGTCCCCATTCATATCATGCTTATAATGAGAAGGGGCATTGTCGCAAACGCAGTACTAGTCCTGTTACATTATTCTTTTGAAGCAAAATAAAGCCACAAGATGGTTTTTTTTTTTTTTTTATGTGAAGTGATCAAGCTTGAACTGTAACTTTTTAGGTTATCAGTAAATGAAAAATAATTTTTAGGGATTATCAAATTTGTGTATACATTTTCTTTCTGTGTGTTTATTTTGTTTGACACAATATTAAAACAATTGACAGAAATGTTTTAAAGAAACACCACCAGTTTTTACTACGAATTGCCACTGAACATTACTACTCAGTTAATAATCACATAAAATCGTATAGGGCACTTGTAATTGTTATATGTTCCGTTATGGTGCTCTGTTAATTGTCACATGTGACGCTACTACGCTCTTGTAAATGGCACATGTGACAAAACAGCACGCTTCTATTGTTCGCTATGACAGCACAGTGCTCTTGTAATGTCCCATATCACAACACAGTGATCTTGTATTGTCGCACATCACACCGCAGTGCTCTTGTAATGTCACACATCACACGCAGTGCTCTTGTAATGTCGTACATCACAACACAGTGCTTTTGTAATATCGCACATCACAACACAGTGCTTTTGTAATGTCGCACATCACAACACAGTGCTCTTGTAATGCCACACATCACAACACAGGGCTCTTGTAAAGTCGTACATCACAACACAGTGCTCTTGTAAAGTCGTACATCACAACACAGGGCTCTTGTAAAGTCGTACATCACAACACAGTGCTCTTGTAAAGTCGTACATCACAACACAGTGCTCTTGTAAAGTCGTACATCACAACACAGGGCTCTTGTAAAGTCGTACATCACAACACAGTGCTCTTGTAAAGTCGTACATCACAACACAGGGCTCTTGTAAAGTCGTACATCACAACACAGGGCTCTTGTAAAGTCGTACATCACAACACAGGGCTCTTGTAATGCCACACATCACAACACAGGGCTCTTGTAATGCCACACATCACAACACAGGGCTCTTGTAAAGTCGTACATCACAACACAGGGCTCTTGTAAAGTCGTACATCACAACACAGGGCTCTTGTAAAGTCGTACATCACAACACAGGGCTCTTGTAAAGTCGTACATCACAACACAGGGCTCTTGTAAAGTCGTACATCACAACACAGGGCTCTTGTAAAGTCGTACATCACAACACAGGGCTCTTGTAATGCCACACATCACAACACAGGCTCTTGTAATGTACATCACAACACAGGGCTCTTGTAAAGTCGTACATCACAACACAGGGCTCTTGTAAAGTCGTACATCACAACACAGGGCTCTTGTAAAGTCGTACATCACAACACAGGGCTCTTGTAAAGTCGTACATCACAACACAGGGCTCTTGTAAAGTCGTACATCACAACACAGGGCTCTTGTAATGCCACACATCACAACACAGGGCTCTTGTAATGCCACACATCACAACACAGGGCTCTTGTAAAGTCGTACATCACAACACAGGGCTCTTGTAAAGTCGTACATCACAACACAGGGCTCTTGTAAAGTCGTACATCACAACACAGTGCTCTTGTAAAGTCGTACATCACAACACAGGGCTCTTGTAAAGTCGTACATCACAACACAGGGCTCTTGTAAAGTCGTACATCACAACACAGGGCTCTTGTAAAGTCGTACATCACAACACAGTGCTCTTGTAAAGTCGTACATCACAACACAGGGCTCTTGTAAAGTCGTACATCACAACACAGTGCTCTTGTAAAGTCGTACATCACAACACAGTGCTATTGTAAAGTCGTACATCACAACACAGTGCTCTTGTAAAGTCGTACATCACAACACAGTGCTCTTGTAAAGTCGTACATCACAACACAGTGCTCTTGTAAAGTCGTACATCACAACACAGTGCTCTTGTAAAGTCGTACATCACAACACAGTGCTCTTGTAAAGTCGTACATCACAACACAGTGCTCTTGTAAAGTCGTACATCACAACACAGTGCTCTTGTAAAGTCGTACATCACAACACAGTGCTCTTGTAAAGTCGTACATCACAACACAGTGCTCTTGTAAAGTCGTACATCACAACACAGTGCTCTTGTAAAGTCGTACATCACAACACAGTGCTCTTGTAAAGTCGTACATCACAACACAGTGCTCTTGTAAAGTCGTACATCACAACACAGTGCTCTTGTAAAGTCGTACATCACAACACAGTGCTCTTGTAAAGTCGTACATCACACACAGGGCTCTTGTAAAGTCGTACATCACAACACAGGGCTCTTGTAAAGTCGTACATCACAACACAGGGCTCTTGTAAAGTCGTACATCACAACACAGGGCTCTTGTAAAGTCGTACATCACAACACAGGGCTCTTGTAAAGTCGTACATCACAACACAGGGCTCTTGTAAAGTCGTACATCACAACACAGTGCTCTTGTAAAGTCGTACATCACAACACAGTGCTCTTGTAAAGTCGTACATCACAACACAGTGCTCTTGTAAAGTCGTACATCACAACACAGTGCTCTTGTAAAGTCGTACATCACAACACAGTGCTCTTGTAAAGTCGTACATCACAACACAGTGCTATTGGCATATCTATTTTAGACCGGATCGACTAGGAAACTTATGGTTCTACTTCTACAATTATATCAAACGATCTAGATGCACATGACACTGTGTGTGTGTGTGTGTCATTATTAATCTATAGGTTAAACTTCTTCAACTCTTTCTGAGCTAAGAAGAATGCTGAATTATCTATCCTAAGAAAACATGCTCATTCTATCTTCTTTTGTGGCAAACTGCTAGGTCACTTAACAGTGACCTGGGCTGGA